GAATAATGGTTAATTGATGTGAGAAGAATGATTATGTGTGTTGAATTTGATATTTGTAGCTAAATCTGATTGCTAGGGATATGGGATGATTGTTCTTGTTTATCGTGCATTTGTCGGGCTTGATTTGTTCATGCTTATGTGAGTTGAATTGATTAGGAATTGATGAAATTGTGTTTGATAGTTTGATGTAATCGAAGGGTGACACTTCAAGCTTGCAGTTGGCAACAATTGGATATTGAGCTGTTGAGTTTGGTTTTATTGATTCCAATGATTAGTTGATTAATCACCTTCTAGTTAAATTAACGACTTTTTGAACCGAAAAGGGAAGATGTCGTAGACCTAGGCTCGCATGAGGTAGATGAATAGAATAATCTATGTGTTTTATATTGAAATACGTGCTTGTCGATGACCCGTCCCTTGTTACGAAAAGTTATTGAGATTGGGATAATTGCCCTGTATTGTATGCTCGAACTTGTTCATCTATGTTCAATCCCTTGTTTCGAAAAGTTATTGGGAGCGAACCGCTAGATGTTTAAGTGAGAGCGTCAATCTCGAACCGAACAATTGATTGTCCGATTTTGCTAGAACTTGAATTAATTATCCCCGATTCCCTAGCTTCTCCATCTTTGTTTCGTTTATCTTCTTAGGTAGATTATTGTTTTTTATTATTTCTTAGTTGATTATTATTCAAACCCGTTATTGATTAGAGTGTTTATGATTTATTTTCTTTTTGTATGTGATCGATACCAAGTTGAATCCCGAACCGCCTTCCTCGTGAGATCGACCCCGGGAACGAATCTTTTAATTCGGTGCTGAGTAAAAATAACAATTTGTGCTACAACACCAAACAACCCTTGGTTCTTACCACGTGTTATAATTAATTGCACAGATTAAGTTAAGGTTAATTATGACTTGGACTAGGTTAATTTTTAAAGTCAAAAACTGAATAGTGTTTTACATGAGTTGAATGACCAAAATAAAAAGGTTGAAATCCTTCTTACAATGGATGTTTCAACAGACTGCCAAGAATTCGATGACTTTTAATGTTGAATCTAAAGCAGTAAACGATGGGGTCGAACTTAGGGGAACTTGAGCCAGTTATTGTGTCACTCAACAATTTTCTTGATGCATGCACAAGTACTTGATAGTGATTAAAGTATCTCGGGTCATTAGGCTTCGTTGAGTGTTAGATGTATTTATGATCATGGTCATATTTTTGCTTGTAATTAACATCTTTTTATGGTCATTTTTTTTTTTAACACATCTTTTTATTTTAGGGGGTAATTGTTTACATAATAATTTGTTCACTTTTATTTCAACTCAAAATGTAACTCAACTTTAATCCAACCCTACTATCTTTAATATTATTCATATAATTAAATAATACAAACAAATCATTCTTACACATCACATCAACTTTAATTTACTATTCATCCACTCACATAATTTTAACTACCTATCATTTTTAATCATTTCCAATCATTTATCTCTTACTTTTACATCAAATCAATTTTAATTTTTTTATTTTAAATATTATTTTAATACATTCTTAAAATTCCACTACAATTAACCATACCACCTTTTTTCAAAATTAACTATAGTTAACCAAAATAACTCAATTTGAACAGATTAATTCATAAACAATCAAGCCCTAGTTATTATTGATTCTCAATTTTCACCGACACTGACACAAATTGTTAGGTGTGCGGCCTACTCAGATTTTATATATACAGTAGTATAGAAATATTATATTATTGACAAAAGTAAACATGGGCTGATGGGCATATACAGAACAATCACAGCTCTAGTGACACATTTTGATTTAGAGCTACATCATATGGTTGTGAAGATGACATTTTTCAATGGCGACATTGATGAGACAATCTATATGGTACAACCATAAAGCTTTGAGGTTGATGACCCAAAGAAAATGGTTTGTAAATTAAGAAAAATTCATCAATGGGCTCAAACAAGCGTCTTGGCAGTGGTATCATAAATTTCATCAAATATTATCTCGTATGGGTTTGAGATGAATGTTGTTGATGATTGTTGTTGACATACGAAATTGTATCAACCAAAAATATTGCCCGAATTTTATTTCTTGAATTTTTTGTAATAAAGAAGAAGAAAATAATTGCTCTCTCTTTTATTTTTCAATTGTTTGAATACGAAAATTATTATATTTTAATTTTCCTTCTCTCTCTTAGAATAACAAATTTTCCTCTCCCTTGCTTTTCCTCTCGTTCTAATTCTAATCAATTTCTTTTTAAATCGATCGTCCTCATCAATCGTCATCCTTCAAAACCTAAATCCAACCGCTCGCACCCCTGCGTCACCACCACCACGAAGTTATTTAGCCATATTTCAACGCCGTCTCATCTCAATTAGGATGTCTTCCGAGGTTTCAAAAGACGACCAATTTTTTCTTCTCGTGTGAGAATACTCAACGAAGGGGTTGGGCCAAGCTATGGAGCCTAGGGATGTAAATGGGTCGGGTCGGTACGGGTTTTCACAAACCCGTACCCGACCCGCCAGTTAAAAATACGTACCCGTACCCGACCCACTACCCGGTTATCCATCACCGGGTTCGGGTTGGGTTTTACCCGTCGGGTAATCGGGTACCCGTCAGGTAAACGGGTTACCCGGATTAGTATTGTCGGTCATATTAGTTCGGGTTATTTTTACCCGTTTACCTGAATCTCACCCATAACCCCCGACCCGACCCGACCCGACCCGAATCTTTTTTTTATTATTTATGTTTTTTGTTGATTTAAGAATTATTTTCTTAACAAATATTTGAAATTCTTAACTATATCTTAAAGATAAGGGAATACACAAATTTTAAGCTAGAGAGATCATGATACGTAAAATAATATTACTTATAAGTATTGGTAAATTAAATAAACAAATTATGGGCATATATAATTGGTAAATTCAATATAATACCGTACTAAATTTCAATGAAATTGTGATTCATAATTACGTTCTACTTACTATTCATCTAGGATAAAGAAATTATATTGAAATGTATAATAAATTATAAACAATGATTATAAAACATACTACTGAAATTAATTTTTGTGTTTATTAAAAAATATGTAATAAGATGTACTTTTAAATTCAAACTGACAATATAATATTTATTTGAAATGATATAACGAAAGATATCTAACAATTGGTAAAAAAAAATAGACAGAAGTATAGATTTTTAAAAAAAAAGTATGTTATTAATTTTTTCGCATATTATACACTATTTTGGCGTTTTACGAATTGCCGATTCATACTCCAAAGAAACAACGGCAATACGTTATAGATATATGCATATCATTTTATTTGGATAATACTTAATTACTCATAGTTTGAAATAGAGAGATCATGATACGTAAAATAATATTACCTATAACTATTGGTAAATTAAAGAAACAAATTATTGGCATAGATAATTGATAAATTCAACATATAGAATTCTCTTATATTTTAATTAAATTACAATTCATAATTATGTTCTACTTGCTCTTCATACATGATAAAGAATTGAAATGCAAAATAAATTGTAAAATATGATTATAAAATATAACACTGAAATTAACTTTTGTTTTTGTTAAGTAACTAGTACAACGTCCGTGTATTACACGGATGCTTGCTAATTTTTTTTCTTAAAATTTAAAATTAATGAAACAAAGTAGTTGAAAAATTAAATATCTTTTATAAATATATATATATATATATATATTATATATTTAGTATGACATTTTTTATTTGTGCAACTTAAATGTGTTATATTATAATAATTTTTTTTAACTTAGAACATATAACTACATTAAACATAAGTATATCAATTGAGAAATAAATTTATTTTTCTAATGAATTTTAATATATTTATTATTTATTATTATTATAAAGATAAATATAAATTATTTATTTCATATATACAATATGGATGTCAAATCGAAGATCATCAAAAGATGATTAATTTGATATATTATACATGTAAAATCGATAAGAAATACAAAAGTTATCAACTTTTAAAATACATTTATAATTTAATAGCTAATTGAAGGAAACAAATCAAAAGTAGGGTTATATTAGTACAAATGATATTAAAATACCTAAGTTAGCTAAATAATATTTATGAGATGTCCAAACCTAAATTTATTATTAATTATAAATATATCAATATTATTTGTCCAAACCTAATTACGAAGCATGATTCTTTGCCAAGTAGGATTGCGAAGCACCAGAAGCAGCCACGTAGGCTCAGCGCATTCGAGAATAATATATAGGGAGGATATGATGTAATTTGAAATTCAAATTGACAATATAATATTTATTTGAAATCATATAGCGAGATATATCTAATACTTGATAAAGACACAACTTCATAGATTTATACATAGAATTTTACTTGGATAATACATAGTTACTCATATTTTGAAATATTTGTAAAGATGTAAATATATAGAATAAACTACACATGTATAAACTTATTATCTTGTTTATTATTATTTATTATATATGTTATTTATATAATTAGAGTTATTCTTTTTGTATAAAAATATAAATTGATCATATTTATATATGTGATGCTCATACTTATAAAATAGAAGAAGTAACAAAATATTATGTCCAAATTATATGAATATACTCCATATTCATTCTTCAATATATATAAAAATTTAAAAATATTTTAGTTACTAAATTATTATTTTTGGAACATATATTTTTTGTATATTTATTTGTATCTAAAGTTATTAGGTGTGCGGGTAAAAGGACGGGTCGGGTAGAAAAACCCACCGGGTAAACGGGTCGGGTAAACGGGTCGGGTAAACGGGTCGGGTAGTGAGTTTTCTTGGTAAACCCGTACCCGACCCGACCCGGCTTGCGGGTATAAAAGAAAAACCCATACCCGACCCAAAACCCGCTCTTACCTGGTATACCCGACCCGATTTTTCGGGTTACCCGCGGGTTACCCGACCCGGTGGGTTTTTCTGACAACCCTAATGGAGCCAGAGTACGCGGGATATGGGCCGAAGGTCGCAAAACTCGGTATCGGCTGGAAGCAGACTGCGGGGTACGAGGAGAACAAGACGACAATTGTAGAGGAGATGAAGAAGAAGATGCGTCGGTTGTCGCCCACCGTCAGCGTTTGTTGGACAAAATTTATTAGCTCTTGCTAGCCCTGGTTCGTTAGTGGGAATGGTAAATCAAATTATTGCTATTATTCGTTAATTTTATAATTAATCAGTGTAACAGGTGGTTAGCTTTGAAAAGATTAAGATTTTGAGTTTTCTGTTTTCCCCCTAATGATGAAGAAGGTTCCAAAATTCTGCGATGAAGATGGTTTCAGAATTCTGCGTTTTCTCTTTTCTTTTTCTGAGGTAGTTTGTAAGTAAAAATATGAATATGATGTTTATCTTGATTTGATTTTTGTTAAATTATTTTTAAAAAATTTGTTTGAATTTAATTTTGTCAGATTTAATTTGATGTTTATGTTGAGTTAATTTTTTTGGTTATGGATTATATTTTTTTTCTTATCTATGGTTTATATTCAATTTATTTATCGTCATTCTCTTAGTTATTAATTGTATTTTTTTTTTGTCTTATCTATTGTTTATATTTTTGTTTATTTGTGGTTTTTGTTCAGTTTATTTATCGTTTATATTCAGTTTATCTATGGTTGATATTCTTTTTTTTTTTTTGTCTATTTAATTTTTTATGACTTAGTAAAAAGTTAGATAATAAACATAAGATTAACCAAAAATTTAAATTAATAAAATATAGATATGAGGTAATAAACTTAAGATAATCTGAAGGTAATCTAAAAGAGGTCACAAAATATAATTATCTAGTTTTTAAATAAAAAAGGCTTTTGCTGAAGGTAATCTAAAAGAGGTCACAAAATATAATTATCGAGTTTTTAAATAAAAAAGGCTTTTGAATACTTAAGTGGAATTAGTTTAGGTTAATCGTAGTCGGAGAAATGTTTTTTGAAAATAACGTCGATGCGTTCTTTAGCCAATTAAATATGACCACGCAGGGCTCAATAATTATAACAAATAACGACTTCAATTGATATTTGTCTGGTCGGCAATTATTGTGTCTACTGGGGCGGCTTCTACATGCTATTCGGGTCGGGTTGGCGATGTTGAATTCTGATTGGTTTTAGATGCGGACAACTTTGACTTATGTGGACCCGTTCAATATTAAAAGAAATCATATAGAAGAACCATATATCCACGTGTAGAAGCTCCTACTTTTAAATCAAATCAACTTTGATTATTTTTTTCAAATATTATTTTAATCTAAACTCAATATCTCACCATCAACTAACAAAAAAATCATACTACCTTTCTTTCAAATTAATTATAATTAACCAAAATATTCGTTTTGAACCACTATATTTGTATACAACCACACAATATTTCAACTAAACAATAAAATAATGATTTTTTCATTTCATTTTACCATTTCAATTGATTTTTCTTAAGGCACAAAATCTTTTATAATCGCAAGTACTATCCCTCCTATATATAATTCCTGAATACGCTGAGCCTACATGGCTGTTTCTGGTGCTTCGTAATCCTATTTGGCGAAGAATCATGCTTCGTAATTAGGTTTGGACAAATAATATTGATATATTAATAATTAATAATCTAGGTTCAGACATTCTATAAATATTATTTAGCTAATTTAGGTATTTTAATATCACTTGTACTAATATAACCTTTTAATTCTAATTGACTAATATATCCCCCACTTTTGATTTATTTCCTTCAATTAGCTATTGAATTGTAAAGGTATTTTAAAAGTTGATAACTTTTGTATTTCTTATCGGTTTTACATATATAATATATCAAATTAATCATCTTTTAATGATCTCGTTTTGACATTCATATTGTATATATGAAATCAATAAATTATATGTATCTTTATAATAATAATAAATAATAATATTTATTAAAATTCATTAGAAAAATAAAATTATTTCTTAATTGATATATTTATGTTTAATGTAGTTATATGTTGTAAGTTAAAAAAAAATATTATAATATAACACATGTAGGTTACACAAATAAAAAGTGACATACTAAATATATAATAATATATATTTTTTTAAAAAGGTATTTAAAATTTTAACTACTTTTTCTCAATTAATTTTAGATTTAAAAAAAAAAATTAGCAAGCAGCATCTGTGTGATACACGGGCGTTGTACTATTTATTAAATTAAAGAAGAAAAAAAAAAAAAGAAAAAAACAGAAATTGACCATAGAGGCTTGAGCTGTTGAGCAGGTCCCAATCGAACAGCGGAGCAGCCTCGCTTTTCAACTCGAGGACTGCGAAAGAGAGACCTCAAGTTATCTACAGATCTGAAGGTTTTTTCCATTATTCGACTGTAATCGTTACAAATCTGTATCTCAATTTTGCGTCAATGGATCAGATTCTGAACAAGGTGGGCTCGTATTGGTTGGGTCAAAAGGCCAACAAGGAATTCAACTCGGTCGGCGATGATATCAACGTAAGACTCCGATCCGATCTCCGATTTCGATTCATTAACATTTGATTTGATGTTGTTATCTAGAACTCAGCCTATTTTTGTTTGGTTGTGTTTTTGGAGCTGTGTAAATTGGGGGATCTTCGATATGGTTCTGTGACGTTTTTATCTGTGAATATTGTTGATATTTAGCTTTGAATTTGTGCCGATTATCGATTTTGGAAGTATTGACGGTGTTGATGTGAAGCAGTTATTGTTTTCTTGAAGTGATTTTATGTTCATGAGCTAATTTTGGCAATGTAATAGTGATTATATGGAAAATTACTTGTGATAATTCATGGCCTGTCGTTTCTGAAAATGAATCTAAAATTTGTATTCCCGACTGCTAAAGAAGCTATAGGCGAGAAATTGTATGTTGAAACGAATCGGTTACTTAAGTTCCATTGGTTTTATTTTGGTTGTTGAACACTTCAGAAATTCGGTTGTATGAGGTTATTTGAACTAATTATTTCATTTAAGGTCTTTGTTGTTCATAATTTTCCATTGGCACTAGAAACATTGATTTTATGTTCATGAGCTGATTTTGGCAGTGTAATAGTAAATCAATGGAAAATTGTGTGCGAAAAGTCATTGCGTGTCAGTTTCCGTAACCATTCTTGCATTGGGGGATGAATCTAACCTTTTGTTTTATTGACGGCTAAAAGGAACTATAGTCAAGAAAATTTATGTTGAAAGAAATAGGTTACATAAGGTTTATTGAACACATTAGAAGTATGAGGTTATTTTGAACTAATTATTTCATTTAGGGCGTGATTGGATATAAAAATTTCCACTCGGAATGATTTTTTTTTTGTTAATCAAAGTTAATTTAGAAGATGGTGGTATGGCGAGTTGTTTGTGGAATTTTGACTTTATATTAAAATAAATAAAGTTAATTTGATGTTAAAGAAGGAGAGATGATGGAACGTGATGGTTAGTTAAAATTATGTGAGTCGATGAATAGTGAATTAAAATTGATGTGATGTAATGTGATGAGTTAGAATGATAGATTGATAGTATTTAATTATATTGATAATATTGAGGATAGTGAAATTGAGTTCAAATGAGTTAGATTTTGAGTTGAATTTAGTATGAATAGAATTTTTTTATATCCATTCACGCCCTTAAGTTCTTCATTGTTGGTGAATTTCACGATTCCCCTTTG